GTTATTCAGCATAATTAACATTTATACAGTTTAATAAGATCAATGATGCAGAATAATGGTACATCCGTATACTATAAATACCTGTTCTATCTGGGGATTATCTTCCTAGGTTGTTAAATACATTACAGGATTAAGAACAATTAAGAAGGAAAGTAAAGCCATGTGTATATTGACTAAGTAAACGTTGTAAGATTTACCTGTAAAATTAGTTAAGTTTACCTGTCATCTTAAGTATTTATGAGGGAGTAAAGATCAGCAATCCTGCCAGTACAAAAAAAAAAAAAAATCCATTTCACATTTATTTTACGTCGCTAGAAGGTTGTTGTTTACAAGCCTACGACCAACGTAACGTAACTGCGACATTCATCAAGCATAACTACAACACACATCTCGCAACAAAAACAACAAAAAGAACATGAAATATAATTAAAACACTGATGTAATATAATTAAAACACTGACATCATAAGAGCTGGTGTCCATGTATGCTTGTCGTCGTCTCCTACTCTCTCTCCTCTTCCATCCCCTTTCTTCCTCTCTCTCTCTCTCTCTCTCTCTGTTAGTGATGTCAAGAGTAAGAAAGGGCTGAGCTGTATACCAACAACACGCCACCATCTCATCCGTTACGTCATCCTCCACAACATTTACAGAAACATTAATTTTGTTTGCAAACACACCATGACAACAACAACAACAACAACTACAACTACTCAACACAGGGAACACTACCGTGACATCTGCAACCCTACATCTTGGAATCCACCATCAAGCAAATGAAAATTGACTTCTCATGAATCTATATTTCATCAACATATACGAACTGTATATACAAATAAGACTAACTTTTTAACCATTTTTTTTTATTTCGTTACACATGCATATAAAATACCCGAATTTTATTTCGATACACATGCATATAAAATACCCGAAATTTGACACAGAAAACCGTAAAAGACTATTTTGACAAAATACGGATACCTGGGTACAAACTGTTTAGTTGAGATAATATACAGGCAAAGGGAAAATGGAATGGTCTGTACCGTATGTTAGAGTCAGTCCTTTACAGTCAACACCACGAATGGTGTAGTTAAGTTTACCTGTCATCTTAAGTATTTATGAGGGAGTAAAGATCAGCAATCCTGCCAGTACAAAAAAAAAAAAAATCCATTTCACATTTATTTTACGTCGCTAGAAGGTTGTTGTTTACAAGCCTACGACCAACGTAACGTAACTGCGACATTCATCAAGCATAACTACAACACACATCTCGCAACAAAAACAACAAAAAGAACATGAAATATAATTAAAACACTGATGTAATATAATTAAAACACTGACATCATAAGAGCTGGTGTCCATGTATGCTTGTATGGTGTAGTAGTAAAAATTGGAAATCAGAAATTACCAGATATAAATTCCCATCAGTTAAAAGATCAGCTAATGAAAATCGAATACTGTTAGATTTTTTTTCAAACCCAGCCCCAAACATGTTGCTTGGCCATTTCTATTTAGGTGGGAAAATACAGCAAATGTTGCAATAAGAGAAAAACCCTAGAGTCAAACGAATCCTTCCCTTATTGAAATATGCGGGGAAGACAGTGGCCTGAATTTAACCAGCCTCTAGGAATGATAAGCTCAGAGACACTGGAAGTGTGCTCCAAACTCATACCATTAAGAAGAAAGGATAGGTGTAAAAGTAGAGAGAGAGAGAGAGAGAGAGAGAGAGAGAGAGGAGAGAGAGAGAGAGAGACTCTCCACCCGTGAAGATGAAGAATGACTGAACTTCTCAAAGATCTCACTTTCTTATGAGCGAAAAAAATACTTGTTAAAGAATATGAAAACACTGAGCTCAAACTGAATGAATCAGAGTCCAGGAGAGAGAGAAAAATTAATGAAACAGAAACTCAAAGCACTTTTATTAATATTCGAAATTCAGAGAAAAAAAAACCACAGCAAGTATTGTGCTCTTGCTGATACAAGATGAAACGTACACTGATAACAGCAAAGAAATGAGCGAAATACTGCAGTCACATGACTGTTCATCGAGCCGTTTAATTAAATTAAACGGCTCAATGGACAGCTTCATTAATAAATTCTTTCATGAAAGAGACCCAAAACTCTGCCAACATCCTCAAACCTTCTGACATAACCCCTAACCCCAATGGACTCTGAAGAAGCCATTGATGATATGATCATGCATTGCCCCCAGGATCAGAGCGCATTCCCTAGATATGTTGTGGAAACTTGAGTCTGGACATACCAGTCATTCTAAAACAACGAATATATCTCCACCCCAAAAAGGTGGCAGCAAAGCAATGGCAAAAGCTATACACCGGTAACATTGATGTCTCAGAGAAAGAATCTGTGACTTTTCTAATCTGTTTAATATATATATATATATATATATATATATATATATATATATATATATAATATATATATATATATATATATATATATATATTACACTAGCATGTGTGATGCTAGAACCAACAGTCTGAATGAAGTGTTCACGAAACACGTAAAAAAAAATACACGAAAAGTACACCATGATTTCTGCAGGAACCTACATCTACGGCACTGATTATTATTATTATTATTATTATTATTATTATTATAAAGGGAAGCGCTAAGCTCGTAATGGTCATACGGCGCCTGGGAATGGAAGGCAACTAAGTTGCATTTCAAGTTAAGGAAGCTAAAATTCCTTTCATCAAGAGCCCGTCACAAGAAGTTCCTCACTTTAAGGTTCTACAGCACTGAACTATACTAAAGGTGCTTGTCTTAAAGGTTCTACATCAGTGAACTACACCTACCCTTACCTAGGACCTTCAAAAAATTGTCCCAACCTTCTGACACAAAATAATCGACAATAATCCAGGAACAAGAGGTGTGAACCAACCAATTTCCTGCTTCCTACAACACTAACTACACCAATTACCAGGAAAAAAGAAAATGTCTTGAAGGAAAAGTCAATAACAAGGTGTGTAAACAGGGGAACGAGGGAGGGGGAGGGGGGGAAGGAAGGAATGGGGGAAGAGGAGGGAAGAAGGAACGAATGAGAAGGGGAAAAGAGGAATGCAAGGAGAGAGGAAAGTTTCTGATAAGCAATTTCGTTGCACCACCACTATAAACATCAATTTTTACCATGAAATATTAAAACGTGAGTAACTGGGAAAACAGGAGGAGGAGAGTAGAAAAGCAGCAGCAGGACAAATATTAGGAACTGTTTGGTAAAAATTCGCGTGCACAGCGCTCGACTAATAAATTCAGTGGGTAGTTTTTTCATGAGGTCTCAGGTCATTACGAGGGTCAATATTCATCAGAGAAGATGGTCAACAGAGGCAAAGATTTACTCAACAATAATATTCACTAGAAAGTGTAAAGGAAAAAATAATGTAGATATTAAGGGTGGGACCATACTAGGCCAATACCGATATCAAACTTTGCCGATAACCACCGATACTGATACTCTGTTACACCTCTAGTAGATATATTAAAAGAGGATAAATGAATGAATGTGTGTGTGTGTGTGTTGTGTGGAGTGAGTGTTGAGTGAGTGTGTGGGAGTGAGTGAGTGAGTGAGTGAGTGAGTGAGTGAGTGAGTGAGTGAGAGAGAGAGAGAGAGAGAGACGGCCACTGGTGTAAAAAATCTAGGGTGATAAAACTCAGCTAGCGCTCAGTGCGATTAAAAGACGAGACGGAGATATTGGAAGACAACTGTGGCGGAGATGAAGAGGAGAACAGGGAGACAGATTAGAGAGATGAATTGGGAGAAAGAAGAGGTTAAGGGAAAGGAAGATGGTTAGAAGAAAGGGAAATGTGAAATAAGACTGACGCAGTTGAGAACAGATGCTGGCGTAACTTCCTACAATGTACGTGAACTAAAACAAGAAAAACTGAGAAATGAAAATATACATTAGTCAGAACAGAAACAAGATTAACGGGGACAGTTTGTGATGTAATATTAATATTACCGATCAAATTAAAAATGGGGGTCACTAAGATTCAACACATACTGGTTATTTCAACTTGCAATATATATATATATATATATATATAATATATATATATATATATATATATATATATATATATATATATATATATAATTCCATAGCCGAGAGTGGTGAGTGACCTACGCGGCCAGAGAGTTCTATAAATATCACAACCATCACTGCCTTAAAATTCGCCCCTCCTCCTCCCCAAAGGAAAATACACTGACATACAGTTATGCAAATTCTTATAAGTTATTTTATTTCACGTAAATTTTAGTAATGTCAAAAATTTGCAGAAGGAAAGGAATGTGGCGGCGGGTCATCTTCAGGTGGTCCTAAAAAAATTCTATGGACAAATGTTCGCAGTAGTGTGTACCAAAATAGATCAGTATTGACCCCGATGATGTTTTAAAATAACAAACGATTTAGCAAAATAATTCACAACTTGACGGTTATATTCTGTGCAGAAATCTTTTACAAAATAAAAATGACTGTTCCTACAAACAAGACTTAGATAAACTTTCCAAGTGGAGCGACAAATGGATGATGGTATTTATTGTTGACAAGTGTCATGAAATGAAATTAGAAAGTAAATACAGAACTTCTGAAGAAATATTAATGTGATACATAATGAAAGCATCGAAATATTTATGAACGTCTTACTAGCTGGCAAACTTCACAAGAACCTTCGGGTATATGGTGTTAAGTGAAAATGACTACCAGGGCTGAGTGGTGAAATAATAATGAAGGGCGAGAGTAATGAAAACATTTTACCTGACAAAAGGTAAACAGAAGATATGACGGCAAAATATATGAGTATGAAAGGATACGAGAAAATATAGATGATTGTCGTGGCTCTCAGCTTGGCTGGCATATGATGACAGGTACAACAAACAAAAACAGTAAGTAGTTATTAATTTGAAAGTTTGAGAGCTGCGAGGCTCGTCCAATAGCTATCGCTTGACTCCTGCGTACTAAGGTGGGTAATTAAGAAGAAACCTACCGTGTAGGAGAGCGAGTGTGAGGAGGATGGTGGTACACAAGTCCGTCATGGCGCCCGGGGGTCGCGGTCGCAACCTGTAACAACACAATACACATTAATCACACTGTATTAAGTCACAAAAACTATAATAATCGTATTTATACACACTTAAAAAAAAGTCACCCAAATGTACCATCAAGCAGAAGGCCTGGTCTGGGACAGGGGGGAGGGGGGTCTGATAACCTTGAACCCAAGTACCCGTAGCCTACTTTAGTGTACTGAGCATTTTAGCATAGAGCTGAAAACAGGGTATGTTACGTTAGGTTAGTTTAAGTCAGCTAATACATGATACATACCAGGTGTGTCATAACTGACCTGACCAGTAAAGTCAGGGTAGGTAGGTACTTCAGGTCAGGCTGTGATAGGCTGTAACACACCCGATATCTAGTTCCTTGGCATTTTGGTTTTATAAGGTGAATTAATAAAGAAATGAAACAATAATAGAACATGATCCACAACTTCTGAAAATTAAACTTCGAAGTTAATAATATATACAAATTCGAAAAAATCCAGAGCATATATATTAACACAGCCAAGTCAGTGATGATTTAACACAGCGCCAATAACTAAAAGTAATATAAACACGGAGAATAAAAATTAATATTTATGGTTACCTATAAACACTGCCGGGAATGGACGATGTTCATAGGGATCTCAAACGTCTAAATTTTAGGGAATGCCTAAACTCTCTCAAAACTGTAATCTTTGTAATGCTAGCGAAAGATCTTATAATGTACAGTTTACGGAGGTTAGGTTACCACACAATGTCCAACACGTACAATATGACAGAGATACGATGCTCCATAAGTAATATCCCTTTACAAATGGAGTAAATTTCTAAGAAATGTAATATATGACTTGTAATATTTGGGTTAGGTTTGATAAGGAATGCAGCCGCACCAGCGTAATATAAACTACCTTAAATGTAAGTCGTTATGTAAACTAATATTTTACTTGTAAATTAAGTGAGAATATAACTTACGAGAGCAAGGACAGGCTCCTGAAATTTACATTTGAAAAATGCTGGAAGGTTTCCAATCTGTACGGTGAAATAATCTCATACGAGAGCGTGAGACATCCCAGACATTGTAAAATACCCCAGTGAAAAGTAGGGTTGTAATAAGTACACTAACTTACGCTTATTAAGACGATTCAATAATTATAAAGGATCCTAGGCTTTCCAATCCAACACCCTTCCTTTCAAATATAAAAGGGAATTACCAACATATCTTGTGTGTCTTCGCGAGGGAAGCTGTAAACTTCTGCATATTGTTCCTAATTAGCTGGACTGTAATGTTTACGTCAAACTGTCGCCAGCTCCAACACCCTCATCCCACAATACAGGTTTTCTGAGGCTGCTGAATTCTTGATCCCAGTAACTGTAACTGCCCTCCCCTTCATTGGAGAGAACCTGATTGTCTCCCATTTTCCAGGCGTTGCATGACCCTCTACAACTTTAACGCTTTCCCCTAAATATAATAATAATAATAACGACCCAACTAACCAAGCAGTGAAGCAGGAAGCCTGGTCAGTGATCGCGTACCGGGGTAGATGATCCCCGAAACGATCACCAGGAAGGACGATAAAATCATCCGAAAATCGTTCTGTACCGTATCGTCAGGAATTTCAAGGAGTGGTATCAGTCACTTAATTACGTTGAAAAAATTCCAGGGATCGCCCCCCACAGCCCGCTCTTACAGCTTGACCAAGCCTCTTGATCGACTGGTCAGGCTGTTCCTGCCATCGCAGATATTCCGACGTAGGCATCACAGCCTGAGTGATCAGGAAGAACTTTTCGAGTTCTCTCTTCAAGATAGATAATGATCAATAATGGATATCCCTAAAATATAAACTAAGCCAATTTCGACACTTAGAAACTAAGGCATATACTACCCTGGAAACTGTGCCAAAGATGTGTTCCCTGTCACTTTCTGCACAGTAGTTACTGTACATTATCCAAGTCAGTTGAGTGGCCAGGAATTTGCCATGCCAGTATTCACTTTATATTAGTTTTTATGTCTAGCACTCTGGTCATAATCCAATGTAGTGTATCTCTGGAGCGAAGGAGGGTAAGAGAGAAGGAAGAAAGAATGGAGGAGGACGGGTGGAAGAGAGGGGGAAGGAGGAAGGGTGGGGGAGAGAGGGAAAGAGGAAGGGTGGGAGAAAGGGAAAGAGGAGGGGTGGGAGAGAGGGAAGGAGGAAGGGTGGGAGAGAGGAAAAGAGGAAGGGTGGGAGAGAGGAAAGAGGAAGGGTGGGAGAGAGGAAAAGAGGAAGGGTGGGAGAGAGGAAAAGAGGAAGGGTGGGAGAGAGGAAAAGAGGAAGGGTGGGAGAGAGGAAAAGAGGAAGGGTGGAGAGAGGAAAAGAGGAAGGGTGGGAGAGAGGAAAAGAGGAAGGGTGGGGAGAGGAAAAAGAGGAAGGGTGGAGAGAGGAAAAAGAGGAAGGGTGGGAGAGAGGAAAAGAGGAAGGGTGGGAGAGAGGAAAAGAGGAAGGGTGGGAGAGAGGAAAAGAGGAAGGGTGGGAGAGAGGAAAAGAGGAAGGGTGGGAAAGGGATTTTATTGCCTTAATTATCTTGCTTGGCAACAATTAGGTCACTAATGCCGTGGGAAGGACAACGGGGTAAGGATGAAGTGAGAAACATAACAGCAAGAACGGAATGGACCGGACTGATAAACCTAATAGGAACAAAGGAAAGGGACGGAATAACAAAGATAACAGGAACAACATGGAGGGATGAACAATGAGAAATATAACAGGGTAAAATAAGGAAGGATGGAACGAAGAACATAACAGGAAAAACAGAGGGATCTCCCTGGAGAGCTTTCCCGAGGATCAACGACCCCGCGGCCAGGTCCATAACCTGGTCTTCCAGTGTATCAGGGCTTGATCAACCAGGCTGTTAATGGTGGCTACCCGCAGTCCAACATACGAACAGCCCGGCTGGTCAGGAACTAACGTTAGAAAGCTATCGAGTGCCCTGACAGTTAAGGGTCTGTTGGTAACACCCCCATATTTATGATGGAAAGCTGAATAGTCTTGGGACCCTTGCACTTATATGTTGTCTCTCATGGCACACCTGCTTTTCAATGATCGTATACTGCATCGTCTGCCAAGTTTTTTCCTTTTGTAGGGAGCGATTCCTGTGTGCAGATCTTTAAGGGACTTCAAGCGTTTCCAATAATTAAGGTGCTTGACAGAACTTATACCTGCAGCGAAAGTTATTTATACATTTTATATATCCGCAAATTTTCCTGCCTTAAAGGGGGTTGTTAGTGTACAGCAGTATTCCAGCCTAGAGTGAATAGTGATATAAAGATCATTATTTTGAAGGTTGTCATTTATCCTATCATCTCCGCGGTTGTGATGACACTACAATATTGTGATCCTTCAAGGTGAGCTAATTTGATATATTAGTTATTCGCTCTGTGTGGTCAGGATTTGTTTTATACTCCGTTCTGGCTTTCAAGTTTTCCATAAATGAGTAACTGAAATTGGTCCTCAGTGAATATTATGCTGTTTTCTGTGGCCCAATGGAAGATTTGATTTATATCTGCTTGAAATATTTACAGTGTCTTCAATGGATGTCATGCAAATTTTAATGTCATCTGCTAATGATAATTCGGTGCTATGATTTACGTTTCTGTCTGTCAAATGTGAGATAAGGAAAATGATGGAGGAGGAGGCTTGGAGAACCAAGTTTTTCACTGTGGCAGCCTCCGACTTAACTCTGTTTAGTTAAACAATTACTCTTCGAGTTTTGTTGCTTAAAAAGTAAAAAATCCACTTCCTCAGATTTCCAGTTATTGCTTTAGCACACATTTTGTGCGCTGTTATACCATGCTCACACTTGTCAAAGACTTTTGCATTTTGTTTGTCGTCTAGTGTATCCAAGACCAAGTCATCGTGGTGCAATAGTTGCGAGAGGAACCTGCTCTGTGCTGCCCTGGGATGTGCAAGTATTGGCAACCCAAGTGGTTGTCGATCTTGCTTTTTAGAATTATTTCAAAGCTTTTTATCATGTGGAACGTTAGAGCTATCTATCTGTAATTTTTTGTTATGGCTTTACTGCCATCTATGTGGGGCTATATCTGTTTTTTTAAGACCAGTGATGCTAGGGTTGTCAGAAAATTTTGAGATATTGACTAGGGATGCCAAGCCCATGATTCTCTTCAAATCGCTTGTTCCCTCTAGGTTGAAATACTGCTGTACACTAATGGCCCCTTTCAAGGCAGGCGAAATGGTAGACATGGAGAATATACAAAGAACTTTCATGGCACGTATAAGTACGACAAAGCACCTAAATTACTGGGAGCGGTTGAAGTCCCTTGATTTGTATGCAGGCAAGAAAGATACACGATAATATACACTTGGGAAATCCAAGAGGGACTAGTCCCAAATTTGCACTCGAAAATCATTCCCTACGAAAGAATAAGGTTTTGCAGGGGTGCCACGAGTACGCTGAGAGAACACAATAAGTGTCAGGGGCCCAAGACTGCTCTACTACCTCTCAACATACTTAAGGGGGATTACCAATAGACCCCAGGTTGTCTTCAAGAAGGCGCTGGACAGCCACCTAAATAAAGTCAGTACCTGACCAGTCGCGCTATGGATCGTACACCGGTTTACGTGCTGCCAACAGTAACAGCCTGGTTGATCAGGCCCTGATTCATCACGAGGCCTGGTCACGGACTGACTCGCGAGGGTGTTGACCCCCGAACCCCCTCCAGGTATACGCCAGGCTTTCGAGTCTTGTTCATTAAAAATTCGTTCAGAATGTTGGCCCTTAGTCTGCTTAATGACTCACTAAACACAGTCATATTGAGACTCGCTCATTTATTTGCTGTCATCACTGAAAGTTGAAATTTTGTTTGAGCAAAGTGTCAGTAGTGTTACTAAATTAGTATGTATTATATTTGTGTAGTATATCGTAGCTAGTATCTCCTCTCTCTCTCTCATATAATATATATATATATATATATATATATATATATATATATATATATATATATATATATATATATATATATATATATATATA